GGTAATGATTCGATGGAGAATTCGTTGTCCGATCGAATTCAGATTAGTCGGCTTCGCTGGTTAGGACACGTATTGCGCATGCCCAGCCATCGTCTGCCGAACCGCACCTTATTCGCAGTTACGGTTCCAGGTTGGAAGAAACCGCGTAGTGACCAACAGATGACGTGGAAGCGGGGCATGAAGAAATGCACAGAGTGAATAGGTAGAATCCCTGTAGCCTCATTGCGCACAGACGCCTATTGAGGCAGTGGCGCCCGTGCATCCTCTCAATTTCTGTCCGACCTCAGTCTACTGAAATTCTCCATTTTCTCTTATACTTTACCTTCAACTTTCCAATCCAAATGCGCAGTCATGAGACAGCAACCAAAACCAGCGCAAGGAAATGCGTGGTTAATGGTTGTACAAACTGAAACTGATAGTTGATCCGTGGTTACCGCAATAAGCGTCACTCGTTGAGTTTGGCTACTGATGCTTATCTGAGTATGGACCCGATCTCGGAGATTGCCCTATCCGTCGTGCTACTTATGATCGGGTGTTGTATAGCCTGGATGAACAAGAATCGTTAGGTCTTGGATATTAACTGCAAGCTTTGACCCCATCGGGTCAGTAAGCACAGTGATCAGCTGTGAACAGAATAGATTCATCATTCAAGCTATGCGCTCTCACCTGTGAATTTCGACGATGGGACATTGAATGTTCGTTTAGCTATGAGAAGTCTATTGATCTTGGCTGAATATGTTTTGCCAATTTAAATAATCGGATGAATGGTTTTAGCGAACCGTAAACCGATAGCTCTTCAACGGTGACATACTTATACTTTTAACGAACGTCTATAGATAGATTATGATAGCCACGTTCCTTGTATTTTTCGCTTCGTCAACCTAAAACCTCGTCGAGAATTGTTTTTATGCATACTGTAGATTGATTGTTTTGAAATTACTTTCACCTTCAGATTGTGTTTCACAAAACGTCATTGACCGCACAAGAACGTGCTCGGATCAAGTCCCTGTTGGGTTCCATTCCCGCCATAAGCACCACGGAACGTGCACCACAAACATGTGTTGTCTCAGACTCTCGCGGCGCACGTAGTCCCACGGAAACCACCCCCACTCGAATAAATCCCGTGTCCACGTCCGCCTTAGTTCCCACGATGCCCCTACCATTCCCTGATCGAACAGTACATTTGTGTGCGCGTCGATTTTTGGCCACTTGCCTTCAATTAAAGTCTCGTTTACAGTGTGTTGTGGAGAGTGTCTCCCATCCATCAAGCTCGCTGGACAATGTGAGTCTACGCTTTGTGAAAACTTTGACATTTTGTAAACCGGTACCGTCGCTACGCTTATAGTTCAGCTAGGTTTATCCTCTCCGCTCCGGGACATGCTCGTAATTAATTTGAACGCGGAGGTTTTCAGCTATATTTAAGCCGCAGTGTTTTACTTGTCATTTAGTCGGTTCTCAACCGATTCAGCTAAGTGCTTACTCTAACCCTCGGGATCATCGTAACCGGCGGTTAGGGACACTGAGTGATTGAGTGTCGTGAACAGTGACGATCGTGCATTTTCTCGATTTCTTTGCAACCTTAGTCCATATGAATCCTCCATCTTCTCACAACATCGCTATTTGTTGTAAAAACTGAACAGAACTTGCTCCTTATCTATGTGCCGACTTCGGGGGTTTGATAATGGTGAAATAGGTTCGCATCGCCGTAGTTTGTTCTTGAGGGTAATTAGCACAGAAAGTTCTTCTGCTTCAATATCACACCTATTGGAAGGGTACTTAATAAAGTTCATCATTCTGCGTCACCAGGTATAGGCTTTTGGTTTGCATAGACCACTAGTCGGTCCTTGCGTCTACTTTGTTTACCCCTTCTACGTGCAATCAGGAAAGGTATATTGGTGCCAGATTCCACATGCAGAGTCGCTTACCACTGAAACACCGTGAAAGTATGGCACAAAGCATGCAAACCGATCTCTGTCGGGTTCATAGCACTACCTGAACGACAGTGTTGAACGAATGTTGTGTTTTGTAGTAGTGAGATGAACTGAGTTGTCTGAGGCACGCCTAGATAGCCCGGGCGGGTAGCGCTTTGGGTTGATGGACGGTTCCTACAACGCTAGGTGTGTATAAACCTTTTAGCAGCTAATTTGGTTATTGACCTCTTCTGTATGTAACACGTTCTAAATGTCCCTAATTCAATTGCTCATGATTCGAGCTACACATCTGACTAATATAATCACACCGTGTATCTCAAGGCCGACATTACTGAATTTGCGTTGTTTTCTATGGACTTATTTACCTCTTTTGACACCAGTTTTCTCTTCTCTCTCTTACTGATCCAGCCCGAACCGTTTTTTCTCAGTATGTATTTAGTAAATGCAGATGAAGGTTGTCGTGTGAGTGAGGAATTCTATTGGAATCCAAATACGGCCACCGTAGACAGTATGATTCCAGCCGAATTGTTTCGCAATCTCGCCTGGACCCAGGTGACTGTCGACTCAGACTTGTTGCCGTCAGAAGCCAACGCGATTCGTAACTCGATCAATGGACCACACAAATCTGCTCGCGGTCCTGCTCCGCCACCACCATCCCAACCACCAACCGGTTCGGCTGCTCCGATCAGTGCTGATCGTGTTCGTAATTGTCGATCGGTAAGTGAACTGACTGGTTGACCCCCCCCCCCCCAAATATGAATTTTATTCCAGTCCAATGAGAATTACGTAACCGATCGTTAGGCAAAGTTGTTAACCCGCCTCGGTATGCAATGTTTTTAAGACTGGAAGGTCAGTGACTAGCTATCACATAACCTTGCGTGGAGGTATGGGAAACCTTGGTCGGTGAACAAAATAATGTGCGGCAGGTATATGTAGCACTTTAGTTTAAGTTTATTGCATTCGAAATTCAATCCGTAATGCTCAAGTAATAAATGAAACAATAGACACCAAAGTTCAATTAGTTTCAGCCTTGACAGGTAGTTTCTTACGGAGTTGGGATCTGTTCGTTTAATTTGTTCAGCTTCTCACATTTTGAATGAGTTAATTACGATGCACACAAATTCCGACAGGAATAACATGCTTAATTCAGTCTAATCGTAAACACTGACAAGTAAATCCACCTTTAAAATGCCGTCATGGGCAAGACATCTTTATTACTCCCGTGTTAGCTAGTAGCGTGCCAGAATTTTCGTCTTCTCTTGTATGATACATCATTTTGGAGATTAGAGCGAGTTCTTTATGCATTCTTTGTACGATTTTTATGATGCAATGATAACGTTTGTAACCACCCAAACCATTGGTTATCGAGGCGTTTTGGGTGCGAAGAACTCAGCACTTTTACTTTTACCTTGTAAATCAAACCCCGGGAACAGGCAGTTTTCTCCGTTCCCTCGTGCTTGAACAACCTGGATCACATCTATCTGGTTGTTCGCGTCGATAAAGTTCTCAATGGGACAATCAGTGGCGCGGCAGAGAAATACACCAAAGGAGTTCTTGCTTCTGGGCCTACCACAACAACAAGTAATGCCTCAGTGGATAATAAAGCGGCCTGTCTATTGAGTCGATCCATGGGTGTGTACTGTCGTCATTTGGGTCGATATCGAATGCCATTTGCTTGGGGTGCCAGGTAGGTCATGTTTCTTCCAACTGCGCTCATAGACTGTACACCTTGTACCATTGTTTCGCTTTACAGACAGCAGTGGGGACCCATTTTCGCCCTCATTGACTTCGTTCATTGGACTTTATCGTCTGGTTTCTGCATATTTTACATTCATGTTGGCTCATATTCTCTCAAGTGAAATAAGCGACCAATTTTTCGCATTTATAGCAACAGGCTTTTAGGTACATAAAAGACAATATCGGCTTCAAAGTGTTTATCGCATGTCTTCATCATTCTGAAATACTGTTATGATCTTAATATGCGGATTTGTACATTACAAATCTTTTTGAATGGGATAAACAGTATTTCTGGTTCATACAGGCACGTTCTGATAGTTTGTCGGTCGTCCTTCTTCTAACTTGTTTACCGATGTTCCATTTATTCTAAACTCGAGAGAGTTTGGAGCAATACAGAGTGATCAAAAACGATACAAAGTTGACTGATACACAAGCACACATCTACAAACTTCTGAACTGTTTGATTGAACAGCTTGGAGTCTCAAATCAACTTGAGAGAGAGATGAGGGGAAGGGAGAATTCACACTAAATGTCTCACTTGGAATTCATTCACTCGAGTTTAAATCCACCAAATAGACGTTGTTCCAGTCTTTGATCTCAGTTATTCTTGAACTGGGTTAATCTTCCTTTCATTGTTACCAGGGCTCCTCCCCGTTTGCTGTGTTCATATTCAACCATTGTCGTCGCTCCCCTACTTCTCCATCTATTCCATTCTTCGATTGAATGAACGCTTTCTTCGTCTTGAGGGCACACTGTGCATACGCTGCATGCCGAGAGTATGACGTAATTGACCGTTGTTCAGAAAAAGGAAATGAAATGAGATAGAAATTGTTGGCTGTTGGTAAAATCATGTTCTTCAAAAGTTATGCACGATGGGAGCTTCGTCGGTTTCATTTTATTCTGCATATGTTTATTGATTTCCAACTATCGGTATTTGAAATGCAAATCACAGCCACCAGAGTCCTAAATCTTTCGTTCTCCGAAAATGATTCTATGGGCAGCTGTAAACTCATCAAATGCAAACCGCCTTTAGTCTGTATTAGCTACTCCCATTCTTTGCCCACCAATTGCGCTGAGAATTCTACAGCTGGCATGCGCAAACTCACCTTAAATAGCTAATTATATATCGAAACGATTTGAACATTACGTCTCGCTGAAACAGATCATTATAACCAACTTCTTTTTTTACTGCACACGAGGTGATTTACAGCAAAAGGGGTAAACCCCATAATCAATGATATACTTCCATTTGTCTTACAATTCTCTCATAGCCCCATCATAGGCACATCCGGGTCGTTTAATTTTCCGAATCCTTTTTTAAATGCAGATTGTTATCACCAATTTTCTGTAATAAAATCTGGGTTTATAAAACCACAGGAGTAATTTTGGGTGACTTGTTCGCGTAGGATGCCCGGTCTGAATCGTCCCCTTTATGGCGTTTCTTTTAGGTTTATGATAGGACAAGGTAAAACGGTTTTCACACTACTTTTTAGGACACTTTTATCCAGTGAAATTCTGTATCCCTGTGTTTCCTAATAATAATTGTTTCTTGTCGCATTTCATTCTAACCGTTCCACAATAAATGAAGTCTATTGGAAGACCAAACGGTAACTAAAGTACCATTGTAATTCACTCTCCATCTCACTATTGCTATTTCAGATCATTGTGCAGCTCCACCCATAGAATGCCTCTTTTCAAAATAGATGCTAGTCGTATCACAGAATCAGCCTTTATGCAACAAATTCAATCACTCGCGCGTCTGATGGATAACGCTTTAGGAGGACCACGAAACGGGATATCGGGTTCACCGGAACACATGGCCTCGATTGCTACGGAGACAAATTCTCGCGGCACTGTTCCGTTGGACGTGGTTGAACGGACATTGAAGACCCAGGCGATTCCGATGACCTTGGATTTGGCCATTTCCGAACTTGTCGACCAGTCAACCGATTCTAGTGTACAGCAGGTGACCGGTACGCCCCTATTGAGCATTTACTGCTTGCTCGCCTTTTCCGTTCTTTCTGTGTGACGTAATTCAGCTACCCCAAGTTTGATACACTTGAACAATGTAAATGTTATTTTAAGGGCTAGCACTAAGACAACCATCCCATTTCACTATTCTTTTGCGTTTTTACCAACCTATAGAGTATCAAGCTTGGATTAGCCTATTCGATTGTTCAGAGGCACCAGGCACTCCTGATCGTCTTGCATGTGGGTTTCACTCCTTGGTGGATCGTTAATTCCCCACTATTTAAATGTGATAGAGATGTTTGTGCTAACCGACAAAGAGCACTGGACAGCTGTTTTGTCCTGAACAATCGAATGGGCTGATCCAAGCTTGATGCTCCACTAAATTGATTGAACCATTCGCATAAGGTGACGACCGTTCTTCGTGTAGCTCAGGCTCGCGGTTTGAGTCCTGATAGGGACCCAAAAGGTAGGCACTCCTGACAAGTCCCAAACAGGACGAAATAGCTGTCCAGTGCTCTTTGTCGGTCATCACAAACATTTCGTCTCACTATTCTTTTGCATTGTTACCAACTTCCGTTTTTCTCATGCCTTCCGCGTCTGAGAGGCAACGAGAGCATATATTATATATATATTTACCACCGGCTTGAAAACAAGCATAGTGCCAACGCAACAACAATGACAGTGAAGGGGATAGGTGGATTAGGATACAGAACGTGGTGAAAAGTGAGTGAGACAGTTAAACATGGAAAATACAAGATAACAGAATTTTTTGTGTGTTTCACCGTACACCTTTTGCAATTTTTTTGTTGTTTAATGTTTCGTTTTTCTTCATGGGCACGGGATTTCGATAGACAGATCGTACAGCATTCGCGCCACTGACTTCTATTCCAGGCCATATCTCTCAGCGTCTCTAACCATAGACAATCCTCATCCCTTGGGCCCCAACCTGGAAGGCGGGCTGCACCAACCGAAGCCAAAGCTGAAGCCAGCTTC